AGGTGCTCTTTGACTGATATATGTCATTTTAAAAAATTCTTCTTCAGTAGTTCGGACGAATTTTATTGCTAAATTTTTTCAGCACTTTCTTCTGATATAATTTAGAAGATTATTATAGGTTGTCAAATATCTCCCTTCCGCCTTTTTGTATTAGAGCAAGAGCAAAAAAGCGGAAGGGAGATATTTGACAACCTAATATAAATAAAGTTAATGAATCAGTCACAAAGTCTGATAGCTGATAGATAAATGTAACAAATGGTTCGACCACAAAGAGATCTGTTTTCGTGATACAAACAGGGATGATGGATCAGATCTCAGATATATATATATATATAATATATCTCAGATATATATATATATAAAATTCTTCTATACGGGTGTATGATTTGATACTCCTCCTAAACGGTTATTCGGATTTTGATAATTCTTGTTAGAGTTTATCAAAGAAAATTTTTAAGATTTAGTGAACTATAAAACTATAGTAGTAATATTGTAGAAATAAATGGCAAAAATTACAAAAAAAACACTTATCATTGTTTGACATTGAAAACATTTGAACTGTCATCTGCTAGAAATGTCAATTCACTTGAAATTTGAATTCAGGTGGAATTATGAACCTAGATAATATTAGAATATAATATACAAGAAAAATTTAATGTCTACATTATTATTGCCGAAAAGCAGCTTATATGTGCCAGAAATTAAAATAATATAAGATACAGACAACAGTATATGTTTAGCAGATGAAATTATATAATTCAGTTTAATAAATAACGCAACAAGTCCAAAATTGCATATACATTATATTTTTACACTTATGCATGTCGCATTTTACTAAATTATTCAACAATACAAAAAATATTTCTACTTATTAAAAATGATTTAGAATTTTGTTTCATGCGTCAAAAATTCATGTGTTTGGCATTGGATATGGAATATTTAGCAAGTTGATCTAAGATTGAACCAGGTAAAAAATGGCCTACAGGATATCAAGAACAACCGCATCTGTATATATTTTTCTAAATAATCTAAGAATTTTTTTATCACTTTCATCCATTTCATCCTCCATTTAATTTAAACCTCAATGCACTTTTTCCTTCTGCTCGCGAATGTTTGTATATTTTTCCCATGCTAATATTCCTCTCTCTCAACATGTAATACATTAAAAGACCCCATTCGAGTTTTTTTTCTCTGACATTTACGAATTACCAGGAAAGTTCGATTCGATTAAGGAAATACTTTCACGACATTGACACAGACAGATAACGAACAAAAAAAAATAGGAAAATAGAAGGAAAACTATGGTTGTACGTGCAGGGCCAAGTCAGGCCACGTTTGTTATATTCGCTGCCGACATTTCGTGCCTTTTCGCCATTAACTGCGATCACGGCTCAATCATTTCTATAAACGCTACTTAAATATTAAAATATATGGATACATACATAGGACACAGGAATACACAGACATACACTGTTCATGAATTTTCCGAAGGAGAAATTTATGTTTTCGCCAGAAACTCCGATTTGCTATATATCTTATATATAAAATTCGTCTGTAATGAGGTATGTATAGATATACTCCTCTTAAACGATTATTCGGATTCTGATAATTTTTTCTGAAATACGTTAAGGGATTTTTTTGAAGGTGTATGTGATTATAAAAATATAGTAATATTGCAGAAATAAATGTAAAAAAATTGCAAAAAACGACATGTCATTGTTTGACATTGAAAATATTTGAGACATTGCTTGGCATTGAAAACACGTGAAAACTGTCATCTGCCAAAAATTTCAATTTGCTCATGAGCTTAGACAATATTAGAATATGTGTAATAAATTCATGGTTATGAATAAGAAAAATTAAATATCTACATTATTTTTGCCAAAAATCACCTGAGATGTGCCAGAAATTAAAATAATATAAAACACAGTATATGTATGGTAGTTTGAATGATACACACATGAAAAGGATCTGACAAATAAATTCACTTAAAATATGAAATCAAGTAATGATCAGGAGCGCACGCCTTAGGGGGCGCTAACACAAGATTCGGATATGAAATTTTCAATAAAGTTTTTTTTTTCAATTTCATTTAAGAAATATATAATTTCTTCATATCTTTTACTAATCTTTGCACAATATTTTTAAAATACGTTAGAAATTTCATTTAAAAAAAAAACAAATAGGAAAGTAAAGATGAATACATTACAATTTGATCCTTACGATATCAATTGGGAAAAGTTTAAGATGCGATATTGGATATGTTAAATAATAAAAAATTAAATTAAAATAATCCAACATGAAGTACCAGTGTTATGTTATGGTTATGTTTAATAATGAAAGGCTGGAATTTTTTTGCTCTCTGTGATTTGCTCAATAGAATAAACGCCTAAAATGTTCAAAATAAATAAGTAAAATATTTGAAAAGCCAAATATCAATAAATAATAATAATTTTGATAATAGGCGCTAAGGCGTTATAATGTATAAATTATTACTAAGAAAAATGTAATTTTGATATTATATTTACTAAAAACCAGTTAAAATATGATACGAGATTATAAAAATTATAGGCAACATTATTGGAGCAATTATTTTGGGTGGAAAAATCCAAGATAATATTGTACTTTTATCGCGGATTTTATATATTAATTTTTTCTGAAAAGCCGTTTAGAAGACTTCAATTTCCAATATAGTGTGGGAATTGTTTATTTAAAGCATTTAATACATTTAACATCGCTAATATTGATGTATATGCATTTTGGTGTGTCGAGTAATTTAAAAAAACAATAATTATTATTTTTAGGTAAACGGTAAATATTAGTTTAGGATATTAAAAAAATGTAGGACAAGGTCTGTCGGGTCATCTAGTATATATCTATATGTATATATATATATATATATATATATATATATATACAAGTATAATTTCATAGGTACTTGATCATGTTGATTAATGGTGTGATCGTGTCCCAGATTGTATGCGAGCCTAGAGTGTGGTCTCCTAATTGATGATTTGTTAATTAACATCTGCTAAATACCCTTTCAGAATCCAACCCGAATCAATTACACCACATTAATCCGTTCTGACATTACTGTAATACACTATTAATAAACAAATGATACATTAAATGAATTTAGCAATTAATAAAACATAAACTAGTCCAGTTATTTTAAGGTTTGATTGTTTTTAAAAATCGTTTTTAAAAGGAAATCATGGATTTCGAAAATCAATTTTTCAGTAGTAAATACTGGTTGTATGATGAATGAATAATACTTTAACTAGTGGGGTGGGTGGCATCGTGCCTTAAGGCAAATTGCTGGAACTTCCCGTACCGTAACGTAATGTTCGAGGAATATTGAATGTTTTCAAATAGATTATTATAAATATTGTAACATTGTCTAATATTTATAAGAATTATATAAACTGAATTGCAGAGTTGAAATTATTTGTTTAAAGTATATTAGAACTATAGTCAGAATTAAAAATAAAATCTGAATTATTTTCGATATACAAAAAATTAAAAAAAAAAAAAAAAAAAAAAAAATTGTACAAAATTTTTTTTTTCCAAAATCAATTATTTTGTTAAGACAAGCAGAAAGTTCTTTGAATCAATTGAATCGGACGCTTAGTTCTCTCAAAAACTGCCATTTTTTGTACATTTAGCTCTGTATCTCCGTAATGGCTGGGCCTGCCTTTGCGAAAAACTAATAACCCCTTCTCCCAATCATTACTAATTGAATGTTTTTTAGATCATTGAAATCGGATGCTCCGTTCTCTCAAAAACTCGATTTCTATTTTCTGCACTCTTTGCTCCTTATCTCCGTAACTGCTGAAACTGTCTTTGCCAAAAACTAATGAGCTCTTCTCCTTATTAATAGGAATCGAATGTTTTTTAAACCATTCAAATCGGTTGATCCGTACGCCCGAAAACGTGGGCGAAAATTTGTATCCATACATACATACACACTCACACACACACACACACACACACACACACACACACACACATCCATTTTTTCTGAGGTATGCCAAAACGTTCAGAAACCTTCAAAACGTCGAGAAATGTAAAAATTTTCAATTCCGATTTTCGGCCCATTACAATAACTTACCCTACGGGAAGTTAAAAATTGGAAATGGTAAATGTACCGAATTGATGAAAACACTGTTGCAAATCGATAGCCGACCTATATTATATATTAGGTTGTCAAATATCTCCCTTCCGCTTTTTTGCTCTTGGTTTATAATACAAAAAGGCGGAAGGGAGATTTTTGACAACCTATTATAATGTATAGTTTTATTATTATAAAGATATTTACACCCTTATATGATTTTTTTTTACATAAACAACGAATAATTAATTGTTTTTAAAGTTTTTGTACTAAATAGCATAAAAAACTTCATTATCAAAAAAATAATAACAGTAAATAATTTCATTCAGAAACTGCTTTTAATCACTTGAAATTTTCTGTTTATTTTATTTTGTTCGAAGTATCCGATTTGGATGGTTCAAAAAACGTTGAAGAAACGATTATTTTTGGAGATTTCTTTTGTTTCTGAATTTCAAAAAAATTGTTGTTTTTGAATATTCAAAATTATTCGGATTTTAATTCTAATTCTAGTTAAAGTTCTTAAGCCCACTTATATATTTGAAATAAATAATTTTATCTTTGAAATTGAGTTTATATAATTCTTATAATTATTAGACAATGTCCTTGATTTTAAATCCGGTTGATTTAGTTTTATTTATTTTCTCTCTATGTAAGCATATAAAAATGTCCAGGACCAGTTAAAATTGTACAATATATAGGCTCTTATATTTTGTCTATAAAATAAGAATAATGAAAGTTAGAGTATTTATAATGATATATTTGAAATCATTTGTTATTCCTCGAATATTTCATTACGGTACGGGAAGTTCGAGCAATTTGCTTTAAGGCACGATACCATACACCACTAGTTTATATTTTTTAATAATGACAACATTAGTAGTTCTGAACCATGCTCTCAATGAAATCCGAAAATTCTAGTTTATTGATTAAATGTTAGAATAATAATATAAATATATCATCTGCCATATTTCATCGATCTTCTATCTTTTCCAGGTTTCTGCCTCACCACCGGCCCAACATCATCCGAAACGTCTCAATCGCCGCCCCTTTCATCGGCAGCCCCTCAGCCTCTTTCTTCGAGCACCTCGACGACGGTCCCATCGGCAGTGGCGGCGGCGGCGGAAGCCCCCCAACAACAACTGGACGTGCTGAACGCCTTGGGTCTCAGGGACTCCGTACATCGAGGGGTGACCCTGACCACTGGACCTCCGGGAGGACAACCCCATCCGGCTTACAGGTTGCAAGGTGAGAGGAAAAGATGGAATATCTTATATATATAAAATTCTTCTGTAATGATGTATGTAAATATGCTCCTCCTAAACGATTAATCGGATTTTGGTAAATCTTTTTGAAGTTTGTTAAGGGAATTTTTTAGGATGTATGAGATTATGAAAATATAGTAATGTTGTAGAAATAAATAGAAAAAATTGCAAAAAACGACATGTCATTGTTTGACATTGAAAACATTTAAGGCATTGAAAACAAATGAAAACTGTCATATGCCAAAAATTTTAATTTACTTATGACTATAGACAATATTAGAGTATTTATAATAAATTTATAATTATGAATAAGAAAAATGCAATGTCTACATTATTATTGCCAAAAAGCAGCTGAGATGTGCCAGAAATTAAAATAATACAAGATACAGTATATGTATGGTAGATTGAATGATACACATATGAACAGGATTTGGCAAATTTATTCACTTCAAATATGAAATTAAGTAATAATCAGGACCGACAGGGTGAAAAATACGAGTGCACGCCTTAGAGGCCAACACAAGATTCGGATATGAAATTTTCAATATAGTTTTTTTTTTTTCAATATAATTCAAGAAATCTATAATTTCATGGCATATTTAACTAATCATTGCACAATATTTTTAAAATACGTTAAAATTTTCACTTTAAAACATTAAATGTGATAGTAAAGTTGAATACGATATCAATTAGAAGTGTAAGATGCAATTTTGGATATCTTAAATAATAATAAATTAAATTAAAATAATCCAACATGAAGTACCATCAATGTAATGTTATGGTTATGTTTAATAATGAAAGGCTAGAAATTTTTTGCTCTCTTTGATTTACTCAATAGAATAAATCGCATAAAATGCCCAAAATAAATAAGTAAAATGTTTGGAAAGCCAAATATTAATGATAATTATTTACTTTTAATAATAAACTGTTAAAACTTGTAAAATAATAGGGGGACCCTAGAAGCGTCCCTGATAGTAATGTATATTAAATTATTACTAAAATGTAATTACTAAGGACCAGTTAAAATATGGTACGAATTTTATAAAAGTTATAGGCAACATTATTGGAGCAATTATTTTGGGTGGAAAAATCCACCGTGGATACTATATATTATTTTTTTCTGAATTTGTTATACCGTTTAAAAGACTTCAATTTTCAATATATTGTGGGAATTGAGTTCTACATTTAACATCGCTCATATTGATGTATATGTATTTTTGTGTGAAGAGCAATTTAAAAAACAATTATTATTACTTTTAGGCAAACGGTAAATATTAGTATAGGATATTAAAAAATTGTAGACGTGGGTACAAGATAACTTTTGTCGGGTCATCTAGTATATATATATACATATATATATATATATATTTATTTATATGTATGTATATATATATATAAATATAAATACATATGTGTATTTTATAATGCTTAATTTTTCAACGTATATACATTATGGTTGAAGTACATTTTTCTCGTGTGTTACTGAGGAGTACTGAAAATTATACAAAATGTGAAGCATAAATTTATATATATATATATATATATATATATATATATATATATATATATTCAGATGTATATTTGCTTGACTATAATACATAAATATAAAAAGTTTGGCATCCCCATAGGGAACAAACTGCATTCGCACTCGTTGAAGTAAATCAGAAAATTTGTCGGAAACTTTTTTTTTGTCAAACTATAAAAACTATTTATGCCAGCGCAGCATTATCACTTGAAACTATTTCGTTATTCTATTATATATATATATATATATATATATATATATATATATAATGGGTAATATAATTCATTTAAGCGCAAACTTTTGCAAAAATGATTTTGATTACAATTTATAGTATGTGGGCTCTTCAAAAGGTTGAATTAATTTTGTTCTAAAACATTGAAAATTTATTTCAGGCGTTAATGCGATTTTGAACCGTAATTATCATCAAAATTATTTACATTAAAATTATTTATTATTAATCAAAATCCTAAAGAAAGAATAATGTCGAATTATATAAAACTAGTCACTCTTTCACTTGAAGGACTGATTTTCTCGAATTAACTGAATAGAAATGTTAATTTTTATCATTCTTACAATTAGATTTTTTTATATGTTAACCTATATATTACAACTTATCAGGATCTATCATTATAATTAAAATTGTTATCCAAAGTATTTAACGTCTAATAAAAAAAATATTCAGGATTAAAAAATACTTTTTATAAGTAATACCATTTGTTAGTTCCCTAAATAATTTATATAACAATGATGTCTTAAATTTGATGTAATACTGATTATTAATAGAACTGAATATTGATTAAATACAACATTGCAGTATCAAAAACATTAAAATAATTATTTTGTGTCTGCTCCAAATGAAGTTTTGTGAAAAAATTCAGTACGATACATTTGGCAACTAGTTGTACGAAAATTTGTAGTTAGAAATCTATAAGAGCTGCAAAATATTGAATTCAATGTTTAGTTTACAATTTATAGAAAAATTAAATATAACTAAAGGGGTTAATTTAGTTAATATTTAATAGTTAGCCAGCTAATTTTGAAGTTTTTTTTAAGCTGTAACTTCACTAATCTTGAGAAAGAATAATGAAATAACAATATGTATTGCAAGAAGAAACTATATATATATATATATATATATATATATATATATATATACAAAAGTATTTATAAATATGTAGCTATTGATATTTGAAGGTTCTATCTCTACCCCTTTGATGTTACCATAACAACTGTTTTGTGCCAACAATATTCAATACTATTCATCAATAATCCCTTAATTATATATAAACACATATTACTTCTGTTTCCAAACAAAACATTTCTCACAAAAGTAATTATTTGTTTGCAATAGAAAAACTTCTACAAAATTTGTAATACTTTTTAATCTTAAAAATGATTATTGATAATAAATTGTCAACATAAAATAAATAAACGTAATTTGATTAGTTTTTTTTAAATTATTTAAACAAATCATATGTTCACTTTCAAATGAAAAAAAGTACAATCATTAAGTATCTGTTTCATTTGATGAATTTTGAGTTAATTAACTTCCTGAAGAAGAATTTTATGTTTTCATAAAAAATTGGATTCGCTAATTTTATGGTTTCTCGACGTTTCAAGCCATTCTGAATCGAATGAGACCAAATTTGGAAAAAGTTTGTGTGTGTGTGAACAGATTTTCTACCTTAAATCTACGTTTTCTCAAAACCGCTTGAACCAATTTCAAAAATTTGGAAGTCTTTTTTTGGAATCAGCGGAAAAATAAGTTTACAAAACTTCTCTAGCTGCGTAAAAAATGTTACCGTTAATGTAAATCATTAAATAATATCATGGACTACGTACATGACATACGTAATTGTGCAGTTGACTAATTTTATCTAAATATTTAAATCCCAATTTCGATTGTTATGCAACTTGCCTCAAGGAAAAATGCCACTTTTGACTAGTTATATATTGGTCTCGCTTAATTAAGTCTTTTTAATATTCTATCCAATTTTCTTGTTGTTTTATTATCTTTACAACTGATTTCTTCATTCTTCTTTTGTTCTAAATCTGATCATGTTCTTTTGCTAATCTAATATTGCTTTTCTTCTTGCTTCTAAATCACCATTGCCAAGAATCGATCCGAGGATCGCTCCTAACTGAGTCATTTTCACAACATGAACCGTTAAAAATTGCCAATTCTGGAATATATATGTAATATCATTATACACAGATTTGCCACAGGATAAATAAAATATTTATTTCTTTATGAAATATTCAGTTCGGAGTTCCTCGGGCATCGATATATATTTAGGTGAGACTCATATATGCGTTTCTCGGCTGTAACAACATATATGAGTTCTTTTATGATTAATATAGTTATTGAACTCATTTTTTTCTGTTATCAGGTGAAGAGCGCAACCTGCGTGCTCCAGCCTCAGTTTGTCGAGCTGCTGCGAAATTGCTGCGCGATTGCGCCGGCGAATTCACGGTGGCGGCGGTTCTGCGGCAGGAACGGGACACCAGCGGGACCATCATTGCTTTCTCCGACAATGCCGACAGGTAGAGGAATCAAAATTACTTCTAAATTTTAAGTCCAAAAATCGAAAATAAAAGTAGTCGTCCAATTTATTAGCTCTTATATTTTGTCCATAAAATTCTTCGAATATTGTATCACCGTAGTTTGCCTTAAAGCACGATGCCATGTACCACAAGTTTTTAACATCCCGAAGTAGAAGCTTATGTTTTCACAAAAAAATCCGATTCGCTAATTTTATGTTTTCTTGACGTTTCAAGCCATTCTGAATCGGATGAGATCAAATTTGAAATAAGTATGTGGGTGTGTGTGTATGTGAAGAGATTTTTGCCGTAAATCGATGTTTTCTCCAAAACGGCTGCACCGATGTCAAAAATTTAAAAGCCATTCGATGAATCTCGATGAGGACTAGCGTTTATCAATTTTTCGCGACGATCAGCAAAGCCATTTCTTTGCAAATAGCAGAAAAGTGAATTTTTTGTCCACGTTTTAGACCGCAATTCTGAATCGATTTTGAAACTTCAAAAACCGTTCGGAAGATATTGGTTGGGTTTGGGATTAGTTTTTAGTAAAGATCGGCCGAGCCGTTTTCTTGTAATAAAATGTTAAAAAAAAATTTCGGCGATTTTTACGAATTTTTTTAGCAGTAGATACCTACCATAGTCTCATAGATCATACTGAAATATTACTGCCCTACGACAAGTTTTTTAATTTTAAAAATTTGTCAAAGTTTGCAAAAATTAGTATTGTTTTTTTGGCGTTTGTCAAAATTAGACTTTTCATCGACGTTTGCTCAAAAACGCTTGAACCGATTTCAGAAATTTAAAAGCCATTTGATGTATCTCGATGAGGGTTATTATTTGTCAGTTTTGTACGACTATCGGCCGAGCCGTTTCTTTATAATTTGGAAAAAAGTGTTAAACTTTTCGTCCACATTCAAGCTCAAACTACCGAATCGATTTAAAAAAATCAAAAACTTTTCGAAAGATATTAGTTAGGAATGATACTGATTAGTTTTAGATGAAAATCTACCGAGCAGTTTTCTTGTAATTAACTGTTGAAAAAAATTTAAGCCGATTTTTATGGAACTTTTTGGCGATGTATATCATGGTCTTATAGAACTTACTGAAATATTACGGTCTTACGACAAGTAGTTTTATATTAAATATTCATCAAAGTTTGAGAAAATGAGTAGTTTTTTTGACGTTTGTTAAAATTAAAATTAGACGATTTAGTTGGTATAACTGGGAGTCCTTGGTCTTAATGAGCATACTGAAACATTAAATTCCTACGGAAACTGGTTCAATTATAAAAATCATTGATTTGTGAAAAATTGCTTTTAGAAAATACTCCGAGTTAACGTGTTCGTTCGTTTTCAATGATGTGTAATATATCCACTCGGAATACTTTTAATCAGACTCATAAATTAATTTCTTTTTTATTATTTAATTCGATTATTTACCCATATCGGGAAGTTCATGTAACTTGCCTCAAAGCGAAATACCAATACCAACTAGTTAATGTTTTCTTCTAGATATTTGGAACTGCAGTCAAGTGGCAGAAGGGACGAGGTCCGGTTGCACTACACCCACGTTTCGGAGGACAATTCTCGGCATGTTCACATCGAGGTGTTCAAATACGAACTGGCGGACGGCAAGTGGCACAAGTTGGCGGTTTCGGTGTCTGGATCACAGGTAAGATCCAGGTCAAGCAGGTGGTTAAGTGGATAGGTGGATTTAGTAGTTAATCCAACCAATAGAGCTTCCGAATGACCTTTGAACATTATCTGAATTAATATGTAATGATATTAAGGTCATTTTAAATTTTCAACTTCCCGTAAGGTAAGTTATAGTGATCGCAAAAAATCGAGAATGAAAATTTCTGCATATCTCAACATTTGAGAGATTTCTGAACATTTTGGCATACACCAAATTCCGAACCATCCAATTATCCGAACTCCGACTATCCGAATCGCCGATTATCCGAATCACTTTCAGAAAAAAAAATGCCCCAAAAAAATTGCCCAAAAAAGTCTAAGTTACAGTTAAAACAGCTTACATTGACGGAGATGTTTAAAAAACAATGATTTTTATTTCTAAACTTGTACATAAGTACATTTTATTTATATTTGAAACATGTGAAAATATCATGTTTCTTTCATTTAATTCAATAAAAAAATAGTGCAATATCAAAACCTTTTTTTCTCTCCAATGGCAATTTAAAAAAAAAAACTCCGATTATCCGAATATTTGATTATCCGAATGGGTCCCGGTCCCCATTAAATCGGATAATTTGAGTTCTACTGTACTTTAGTTGGGTTCTGTACCAAAGTTTATCTGTAATACTGTGAAGCGGCGCTTCTATATTTTGTTACTACGCAGGTAACGTATCGCAATTGCTTTAAAACAATTCAAAATTTCCAAAATATTTTCAGATATAAAAGAAATTCAAATTTTTCAAAGCGGTCATTTTTATTCAAGAATTTTAAAAATCTCCAAGAACTATTTTTTTCTGAAGTTCTAAATATTTTAATTTTTGTTCGGGAAGTTACAGAAATTTGCCTTAAGACACGATTTCATGCACAACTAGTTATATATTTGATGGACTGTATGACTTGGAAGTATAAGTTTTTTACTTAATTATTATGATGTGAATAATATTTGGGCTTGAATATAAATAATTTTTATTCAATTTTTCTCAGGTGGAAATGCTGGTCGATTGCCATTCAGTATATAGAAGAATTCTCAAACCAGGGCCCCCTCATAGAAACTTTACAGCACTTGATCTCGAACTGTGGGTCGGGCAGAGGAACAAACATTCTTTTTTTAAGGTAAGGCTTAAAACAAATTTTAATTAACTGCTAAAATGTGTTGCTTATACTTTACTCTATGCTAATGCTTTTTACCATTTCTGAACATGTTAACTGGAATTGAAATTTTTTGTTCCAAATTATGATAAACAGGACCTTATGTGCTTGAAATAATTAGAGGTCAAAATTTTAATTGGAGCATTGTATTTGACTGAAAACACGATTCTAAAGTGCAAGGAAGTCGAACTCACCTGTTGCGTTCGGTGCCTGGCTCACGCAACATATGCGTGCGCAGTAGTGAATGTGTTATATTACAATTACTTTCGTACGGCTAAATATTTATGAAAAATTTTCCTTGCAAAATATGAAATACAGTACGCCTAAATAAGAGACCACTGTATCCCCTTTCTCGTAAAGAGTAAAAAAAGTATTATTATAGAAAATGTATATGAAAAACGATTTAGTACATCAATTTTATCGTCACAGTATTTAGAATTAAATGAATTAAATTAATTGAGTTACAATACATTTTTACCATCATCAATGCACGTTTAATATTTCAAAATAATTAAATTTAAATAATATATGTACAGCAAACAAAATTTCAAACATTTTGGTTGTAATATACTGCATATTTTTTATCTAGTTTTATAAATTTCATGCACCAGGGATTCAAAATAATTTAATTATATTTACATAGAAAGTTTGACCAAAAGGGGTAAATTTAAATTATTAAAATTTTGAATTTAAATGCTATATTATAAAGAATAATTATGGTGATATTCTAGTTACTAATATTCAGAGCTATATTAAGTTTTCATTTGCAACTTATTATATTGCACTATTTTGTATTATACTAATTTTTATTATTTTATATTCACTTGATATTTTGTCCCAATGAATTCTGATTCATCTTTTTCTAATTTTTGAAATTTTGTTACATTATTTTCAACTGAATTGATGAAATATTTGGTAACATATATGTATGTTATTCCATTGATTATTAGAGAAATAAGTCATAAATTTAATGACGTACTCATAAAATATTATGGAGAACATCCATATTATGTAATAGATTGGAGGTATTAAATTTATTGATTAATTCAATAATGCTATGACATGCATATATATATATATTAGGGTGGTCCTTAAAATGGTCATTTTCGAATTTCCTTGCTCCCAGGGGCTCAAATGGTTCCAAATTGATAAAAAACAATTCTCTGAAAGTTTTATCTCTTAATATTAACGTTTAGATAGAGCGCAATTCAATCAAAGTTTTGTATGGAAATAGCATGGAAAATTTTTCAAAAATTTTTAAAATGTTTTTCAGATGTAATTTAGCGAACAAATGAATGATTAAAACTCATTCATTTGTCGCTAAGTTATACCTAAAACATTTTTTTTTAATTTTCAAAATTTTTTCCATGCTCTTCTCATACAAACTTTGATTGAATTGCGCTCTATCTGAACGTTAATATTAAGAGCTAAACCTTTTAGAGAATTGTTTTTTATCAATTTGGAACCATTTGAGCCCCTGGGAGCAAGGAAATTCGAAAATGACCGTTTTAAGGACCACCCTAATATATATATATATATATATATATATATATATATATATATTTATATATATACTGGCTGACCCGGCAAACGGTATTTTGCTAACTAAGGTATTTCTAAAGAATTTCTAGAGAATCAAAAAAATTTATACTTTATTTTAAGTGTATTAGTATGTGTAGTTTGAATTATATAGACAATGAGGTAATATAATAGCAATGAAACCCCAAAGTCTACTTGTTTAATATTACATAATTTAATTACATTAATAATGTTATTATTCATCCGCCCATATTTTGTTAATACAATCGAACTGGAAGTTTTATCCACTTTCTATGGTAAACATGGTATAATCCAATCTAAGTTTTTTTTTTGTTTTTTGACTTATATAGACTTTACAAACTCTTTATAATCGAATACCGATTACGTTTCAAGGAGACCGTTGTCCGTAGCTAGACGTCGAACGCAACAGGTGCGTTCGCCTTTCTTGCACTTTACATTGGTGTTTTTAGCAAAATAAAATGCTTGAATTAAAATTGTGTACTAATTAATCAATTCAAACAGAAATAGTTCTTTTGTCCAGAAATGGTTTTATTAAAAAAAATGGTTTTATTCAGTATTAAACGAATAATATAATTTAGCACAGGGAAAAGTATGTATGACCAACATAAAGTTAGAAGTGATTTATAAATTCTATATCTATTTATTCCAGGGTTCCTTGCACTCTGTGAGCCTAGTGTCAGGTGCACACGGACACAGCACCCAGTGTCCTGATGCCAATTTAAGTTGTCCAACTTGCGGAGAATTTGCTGCCCTAAGGGACACTGTAGAAACTCTTGCCAGGAACGTCAGGGAGTTGGCCCAAAGGGTTGGTAAAAAAATCAGAAATATAATAAATAAATAAATATATACTATTATACATAAAAAATACAGAATTTTGTGATAAAGAAATATCTACTGCACAGAAAGAGATGGATAAGATTAGAAAAACATTAGACGCATGTTTGAGTGCTTTTATTTGTATTGTACAACTTTTAGTTACAATTAAGCATTTTTGCTTTATTAATCAATCGTTATCATTCAAATCGTTCTGCAATGCTTTGTGGACCAAAATCAACATCATGAATAAAATTTTGGTCAGATATCTTAAAAACTTCTTTGAAAGGCTTTTGGATTCAAAGGATTATTTTGAACCAATCAACTAGAATTTGAAACTCGAGTCGTTGATATTCCAGCTCAGTGTCTGTTATTATATGAACGTATCATGTAATACTATTTGGTGTCTTTAGGAGTTCAAAATACATTGAAATTAATTTCTTTCCAGCTGGTGAAGGCCGAAAGCAACGTGGCGCAGTTGGAGCAGTGCGACTGCGTGAAATCATGTGATGACAACGGCACCACGCGCATCGATGGTGCCAGTTGGAAGAAAGATTGTGATATTTGTACTTGCGTGGTAAGTCATATCATATTTAAATTTGAATAAAAAAATTAACTAGTTGAAAGTGGCATTTTGCCTTAAAGCAAGTTGCAAAAGCATCCCGATATGTGTAAATAATTGACTTAATCAATAAAAACTAAATTAATTTATGAGTGATTGAAAGTATTCCGAGTGGATTTATTACATATATTTGAAACCGAACGAACGCGTTAACTCGGAGTATTTTTTAAAAGCAAATTTTCAAAAATCAACAATTTTTATAATTGAACCAGTTTTGTAGGACTTTAATGGTTTAGTATGTTTATTAACACCAGGTACTCTATCATTATACCAAGTCAATCGTCTAATTTTAATTTTAACAACTTTGATGAATTTTTAAAATTAAACTACTTGTCGTAAAGCCGTAATCTTTCTGTAAGTTCTATAAGACCATGGTATATATCGTCAAAAAATATTCCATAAAAATCGGCTTAAATTTGTTTTCAACAGTTAATTCCAAGAAAATGGTTGGGTCGATCTTTACCTAAAACTAATTGGTATCATACCCAATCAATACCTTTCGAATAGTTTTTGATTTTTCAAAATCGAGTCAGAATTGCGGGTTAAAACGTGGACGAAAATTTTTTCACTTTTCTGGTGTTTACAAAGAAACGGCATGGTTGATCATCGTGCAAAATTGTAAACCTTACTTCTCATCGAAATACATCGAATGGCTTTTAAATTTTTGGAATCGGTCCAGCCGTTTTTGAGAAAACGTCGATTTACGGCAAAAAATTTGTTAACACACATACACACACACAAACTTTTCCCAAATTTGTTCTCATTCGATTCAGAATGGCTAGAAACGTCGAGAAAACATAAAATTAGCGAATCGGATTTTTTTATGAAAACATAAGCTTCTCCTTCGGGATGTTAATAATAGTTCGAAGTATGTATTATCTGTTGATAGTAATATTAATTAAATATAATTTTTTTTAGCATGGAGTGATTGAATGTAATAAGGTGCAATGTCCGGCTGTGAACTGTACATATCCTGAACAAAAACCTGGAGAATGCTGCAAAACTTGCATGAGTAAGTTATATAAACATAGAGCTAGGGCTTTCCGTACTAAAATCTGAATACCGGTATTCGATATTTGAAATTTGTAATGCCGGGAACCCAGTATTAATACCGATATATCATATTAACAATATTATTGTTCTAATCTAAAATGACTACATATTTAGTTACATAAAGAATAGGAGTAGATAGGTACGAAAAAACGTGCTAGTAAACAATTATATTTTAGGTTCTATGTTATATTTTACATATAATAGGCTCGTATAGAATTATATATTTAAGGGAAAAACAAATTCAGTTAATAAATAACTTATATTTTACTTATTAAATTATTTTATTTATCAATTCTTCAACCTTCAAGCGAGAACCGAATTTTAATACAAATATAACAAGCCGGAAACCTTTTTCTCATTCTAAACTTGTCGGCACAATTGTCATACGAAATAATACGAGTACATTATTTGATATGAATTAGTACTTAGTATAGTGTGTTTCATCACTAGATATCAACACATCACAAAGACTTATAGAAAATTATTGTATTTTCTGAGTGTCTAATAAATAAATAAAATTATTGTATATGAACGATTTCCAAGAATTTGCAACGTACGCATAAGAAATAGGCCAATCACCACTAAGGCCAATATTATCATTGATTATCAAACTATATATGACTCTTATTGATTATTGATTGATTATTTTTTTCCTCAGGAGAATGTTATTCAGATAAAGTGATATATGAACATGGAGCCGCAAGAAAAAGGATCTTACCCGGCAATGATGGACTACCTGCTTGTTGGACCTGCACTTGCGATGACGGCAGTATGAGTTGCAAACCGGACGATTGTCCCAAATTAGACTGCCCGCAACATTTGGCCATACAAGTGCCCGGAAAATGCTGCAAAGTCTGCAGAGGTAACAGATCTAGACAACTAGCTACTTACCAAAACCATCAGCCTATCATTTATATACTAACATGTCTTCTTCTTTCCATTTCTTGCTTGTGCTGATTTTTGGATGTTTTTGGACAACTAATAATATTGGATGGCAACTACTAATATTTTATTAACAAATTAACCAAATTTCTTCAATGTGAATGACCTAACTTTAGGGACAGATTACTGTTCACAAGGGCACAATTGTCATGTTAACGCTACTTGCATCAATTTACAAACTAGGTTTGCTTGTTCCTGCAACCAAGGTTATACGGGCAATGGAGAACTTTGTAGTGGTTAGTATAAAATAATAATAATAATAATTTGTTTCTTTACTAATATATTGACTAACTTTACTTTACTATTGCATGGCTTCATGCCTCAAGGCAAATTGCTGGAACTTTCTGTATCATAATGAAATATTCGAAGAATAAAATTTAGATCAAACTAGTTGGTATTGGTAATTTGCCTTGGCGCAAGTTACATGAACTTTTCAATATGTGTAAATAATCGACTTAATCAATAAAAAATAAATTAATTTATGAGTGATTAGACCCCAGTAGAAATATATCGTGGCCAAAGTAGTAAAAAATCGTGGCGCAATATTCAAATCTTGCCTTTAGATGGACCGGACAATATTTGTTCTCAAGATTATGGAAAATTTGGAAAATTCATGCGAGAACTGTTTTATATGTTTTATTACAAATAAGAAACATGTTTCCCATATGATTTACACATCTAATTTTATATTTACACGAATTACACCATATTTTTACATGAGGGCGTAATCGAAGTTTTTTGTGGATGACCAAGATTTGTTTCTTAAGTATTATCGAACTTGGGAAATACACGGTACTTATAAGGGTCATGAAATTTTCTTTTAAATATCACCACGTATCACCAATAATCCTTAAGGGGGTCTTCCTATGTGACGGCCTGTTTTTTAGGGATATTTTAGGATTTTTTTTCTACGACCAGTAAATTTTTAGAGCTTCAAGTTTTTTATCATTTATTAACACATATTTGGACAGTATAAATATAAAATTTCAGCTAAAAATATTCAGTCAAACTAGAGTTACAGCGCTCTGAACACCCCCGCCTCGAAAAAGAGCTCCCACTTTCTCCACGATTCCGGCTGAACGGCTTATCTGAAAAAGAAAAATAAACGGCGTTTTAATTTGTAGGCTTAAAAGCACGGAATGACCTATAATCAAATAAATATAAAAAAAATTGGATTTTTGATAGACATTTGAAATAAAAGTTGCAAATTAGGCGTTTTTTTTGTTTTTTGCTATAAAAAATCGAAGTTTTTTGAAAATTTTCGATTGATAATAGTTCATTCCATGCGTTTAAATATATTGAGTGTGTCCTGTAAATTTCAAGTAATTCGGTCCAGCCATTTCTGAGATACAATGGAGGAAAGTTTGAAAAACACAGTTTTGAGAAAAACACGTTTAAATTTTCTAACTTCCAACTCAGCGCTCCGAACCGCTCATTCTTTTACCTGCTGTATCTTTAAAACGACTTCGAATTTTCTAAAATCGCTTTACTACCGTATTCTAGATTTTTTCAACCCATCACATAGGAAGACCCCCTTAAAAAGTCGATCACGTGATTAATGGACGCCCCCCGACAAATCTGCTTTTGGGCAAAACTTTTTCATATCATTACCATCACCATCTATCAATTATTATTAACTATATTCTAATAAATTTATTATTTTCTTAGATATAGACGAATGTGCCACCAGAGGTGACCACCACGGTCACCACTGCAACAAGAACTCGGTCTGCAAGAACACACCATCCTCTTACATCTGCGAATGTCTGCCTGGTTACGAGCGCCTGGACGCATACAACTGCAAAGACATTGATGAATGTGCACTTCAACCAGTTGACGAGGCGCAAATAGAGACTGAGAGTGCTGAGGAAAAGGACAATAGGTTGTGTGACATCAAATCGAGAGCTGTTTGTACGAACACAATGGGATCTTATGAATGCAAATGCAAAGACGGCTATGCTGGGGATGGGAAGACATGCTTACGTAAGTATAGTGATAGATGGTAATAATATTATATCTAATTTTCTAAACAGCGCCATTAAGGTACCGATTCTGCCGCATAACAGATAAATGTTATGGCAAGGCTATGTTATGAAGAACTTTCCATACAAACTCTAAATATTGACAAAACCCATGTAGATGCTGTGCAGTCAGGCGTTTTTTTCAGGTTATCTGATAAATAACCTAACCTAGAAACCGCACAAATGTCACAAAAATGATCTTAGATAACAGGGTCTTTCTGACTCAGGTTCATAACATAGGAGTGACGTTGCAGTTTATGTGTGAAACGCCAGAATGCACAGCAAATACATGACATTTTGACAGTATTCGGTATGATTCAGTAGCATAATGTATGAAGTTGGAGCATAACATGGCCTTGCCATAACATTTTTCTGCTATACGGTTAGAATTGGTCGTTAATTTTTTTAAATTTATCCAACTAAATTAAATAATTAATTTTTAATTTCTCTATTTTTATAGCTGTGTGTAATCAGATGTGCCTGAACGGTGGAACCTGCACAGCACCAAATAAATGCACCTGCCAGCCTATGTTTAGAGGGCCAGCCTGCGAATACGATGTGGATGAATGTGCAGAAGGTACCCATAGGTAAAACCGCATATAATATATAAATCTTTTATATTTTTAAATATACTAGTAAATACTTCAAATATAACTAGTGGTGCATGGCATCGTGCCTTTTTTTTGGCGATATGTATCATTGTCTTATAGAACTTACTGAAATATTACAGCCTTACGACAAGTAGTTTAATTTTAAAAAATCATCAAAGTTTGAGAAAATGGGTAGTTTTTTTGACGTTGAGTACTTGGTCTTAATGAACATACTAAACCATTAAAGTCCTACAGAAACTGGTTCAATTATAAAAATCATTGATTTGTGAAAATTTGCTTTTAGAAAATACAAGTTAAGGTGTTTGTTTGTTTTCAATTATGTGTGATAAATCTAATCGGAATACTTTTAATCACTCATAAATTTATTAGTTTTTTATTGATTAAGTCGATTATTCACACATATTGAGAAGTTTATGTAACTTGCTTCAAGGCAAAATATCAATTCCAACTAGTTTAAAAAAGTGCTTTAAAAGCAAAAAAAATAAAAATTATGTTGTTCTGAAAAGAAATCGAAATAGCAGCTTCATTCAAATTGGATTTTTTTTTTCATTGCGGTATCAAATTTTATTATATTTATATTATTAACGTACTAGAAAAGCATACTTTATCAAATAAACTCTAAAATATGTAGATTAGTTATTTTTATTTAAATATCAAAATAATTAGTGTCAAAACATGTAGTCGCACATACTAATTTCTTTTTGTTCTATCAAATTCATATAATATCTTTTAAATCAGCCTTTCATTATATTAATTTATATCTTCAGATGTGATGAAAAAGCTGTGTGTGTTAATATGCCTGGCTGGTATTACTGTAAATGCAGAAACGGCTATGAATCTGTTATGAAAGAAGATTTTCACGAGAGGGAATGCAAAGGTTTGTATAAAAATATTATTATTATTACATTCTTAATTTTATAAATTATAAAATGTAAAAATGTATATTTAATACACACTGCAGAAGATATATTTTTAAATGAATTTCAAATACTATTATCATTGAGCTTTTTATTTATTGTGAAAGAATTAATAAATGAACATAAAAATCAGAAATTATTTTAGTCATCAATTCAAGATTACAATACTAGTTTTATTATTTTGTTTCTTGTTTTCTTTACTTTAGATATCGATGAGTGTGCAAGTAAGATTGATACATGCCATCCGACTGCGAGATGCCACAATACAGATGGAGGATACGAATGCATTTGTGAACCTGGTGATCCACACTGCACTCTCAGTAAGAAACATTTTTTGTTGCATGGAATTTAATTGATTATAAATTTGCAACATGTGGAAAAACAAATAGTACAAACATAGTAAGCTAGTTCATATAATTATAAATTTAATTTTTTATAGATTGTATGGTCGATGATGTTGAAATACAGAATGGCAGTTATGCTTTGGCACCACCGGAACATGCTTGTGAGGTAAAAATATATCTGACATTGTAAATATATATATATATATATATATACTAGCAAACCCGACGAACTCCGTTTCGCCACCAGATGGTTTCGTGAGAAAGATGAAGAAATTTTTTGTTTGTTTTATATTTGATAAGGAAAAATTTGATTTTATTATACAACAGTAATGAATTTATTTCGATTACAAAAATGAAGTGTTTTTTAGTTGAACTTCTCTAAGTAAATGAAAGGGAATCCGCAAATTATCCGTTTCATTGAAGTGCTCTTTGGTAAACCACATTTTTTGTTTTTTGGTCTGACGTTAACACAAACAAAGCGGATGGTTTTCCAACTCGTGCACAGGCAACGTATAACTGCCAATGTGAAAAACAATGATTTTCTAAGTAATCTATTTGAGATTTATCCCGTAAACACTAAGCGATTGGCCTTGCGACTTGTTAATCGTCATTGCGAACGCAAGGCGAACTCGAAATTGCAATCGTTTGAAGTCAAACGGAAGACCAGTCGGAATCATTGGTATGTCACCAAATCGCCAGCAATTTTTGATTGAATGGTGAAATTCAGTGCGTGTACATCATTATTCTTTGCGGCAAGAATTCCTTGTTGACTTAACCAATCATAATTCTGATAATTCTCACTAATGTCATTACTCGAATTTTTAATTACGGTGCGTGAAGTTCCAGCAATATGCATTAGGGCACGATGCCATGCACCACTAATTTTCTTAGCTATAAACCTTGCGGAGTCCGAGACCTTTACAACGAATGCAAAATTGTCGAAATCGGTTCGTGCGTTCTGGAGTTATTTCGTCAGGAAGGAAAACCCGACTCATTTTTATATATATAGAAGATATATATATAATGTAATATATATTTTCTACAAGAAATTGAAACATTTGAGTGAGAAAAATCATACCACGTATTTGTTTCTTTTTCAAGGAGTGTTTATGCAATCGAGGAGTCATGTCATGTCATCAAAAAGTCTGCAACTGCACTCATGGTCCGGTTGACGAGCGTTGCTGTCCACAGTGCAATCCCGACAAGCCTTGCAAACATCAGGAATTGGAGCAAGTCGAATTCACCAGCGGAGAGAAATGGATTTATCGATGTCAGACTTGTGAATGTCTAGTGAGCAGAAAAAAACATAATAATGATATAATTGTTGATAATTGTTTTATTATAATAATATTGTAAATTATTATTTTTTAGTATGGTGAAATAGACTGCTGGCCCATGGAATGTCCACCAGTCACCTGCGGCAGCGAAGCAGTGGTTCGTCCAGGTGACTGCTGTCCCCGATGCCTGCCTGATCCCTGCTCGACTTCATCGACTTCAGAAAAATCTTTATCATCTCTAGATCAGATGTACGAAAACGTCTTCAATTACAATGGCCTATTGGTTACTACAATCAGTAACAATACGAAGAGCAATAGGCCCTGCAGGGATCAGAATAACGCATTGGGGAATTTTAAGAAAGACGGGGATTCTGGAAATGGTACGCAGGTCGTACCAGAAGGATTTAGGAGTCATGGGGAAAAGTGGACCATGGATGATTGCTCGGTGTGCGAGTGCAAGGTCAGTTGTAGTAATAAGATACAGGATGATATTTTTGCTAAATGAGTGTTTTGGTAGTTGAATTATAACCAGTGGGGTGCATGGCATCGTGGCTTAAGGCAAATTGCTGGAACTCACAGTACCATAATTAAAAATTCGAGGAATGAAAATGTTCGATAATTGTTTTAAAAAATTTCAAATAGATTATTTATTATAAATTCATACTGTGAATTAATAAGTGCTTATTATATTGGGCGAAGAGCGTTTTTTACATACAACTTATGTGTATGTTTACAAGAAATTTTTTCATTTTTTTTAATTTGATTTTTTTTTGATAATTTTGAAATTTTTTCAAAATTTTGTAATTTTTTTAGAAGTTCGGATTTTTTTTGTAATTTTTGAAAAAAATCGATTTTTTAATTTTTTGAGAATTTTGAAATTTTTGAAAATATCAGATTTTTTTTTTTGAAAATTTCGAACTACTCTCAAAGTTTTCTCGATCATTTCATCACGGTACTACAAGTTCCAGCAACTTGCCTTAAGGCACGATGCCATACACCACTAGTTATAATTTAATCACTAAAACATTCACAATATGATTGAACAGTCTGATATAGAATGTAGGTGTGAAAATGTTAGAAACTGTAAAAACAGTTAGCAGAATAAATGTTAGAAAATTGTTGATTATATGATAGAAATTAATGAATATATAAAAAAAAAATAGTTTCATAGACAGTTATAATGTTTATAAGATTACATAGTTATATTCTTGGTTTGTGTGTGAGCTACCTGCTGCTTGCCGGGCATGTAAAAATTGTGCTAACATGAAAATTAACTTGAGCTTTTATTAATACAGACGCGCCTTTTGTGTACTTTAGTGTTCTTGTTTTAGTTTTGAGAAAGTTTTCTTTATATGTAACATCTAAACTCTTCATAAAGTGTAGAAAATATATTTGAAATTAATAATTTCTCAAACATTATAAAATAGCGCCACCTAATAACCCACATAATCGATGTACTAGGAATATAGAGCAAGGAGTTCCACAAGGTTCACTTTTGGGTACCATTTATCTTACAAAACTTATATAGATTGGATTCAAGTCATATGAATTTTACTATATTGATTATATAACAGCGCCGCCTAATACCCCCACATATCGATGTACTAGAAACATAGAGCTGCGAGTTCCACAAGGTAGACTTTAGGGCACCACTAATATTAGAAAACTTATATAGATTGGATTCAAGTCATATAAATTTCATTATATGAGTTAGATGTTGCATATAATTAGTCATACAAGAGTTTTGTATATTTTTTAGATTTTTTTATAGGTATACTTTTGAAATCAACACATCATTTTGGGGCCTGTTCTCCAATAACATAGAATTGTTATGGTAATGCAATGTTATGGGTCTATATTCATATGAGCTGGTAGTAATTAATTGTGAAAAAGTTATGTATTTGCTGTACGATCAGGCATTTTACCCATAAAACCTAACTTCACGTATGTGTTTTTAAAGATATATCAAAATTATGCACTTATGATAAAATTGTTATTCGACGTTTATGCGTTTTATGTGTAAAACGCCTGATCGTACAGCTTTTTGACAGTTTGTTACTATTATCTCATACAAAGATATGAGATAACATAGTGATACCATAACAATTCTATTTTATCAAAGAATTCGTCCCTTAATTCATTCCCAGCATGTAGACTTATGCATTGGCTTTTACATATGAAAACTTTTATCAAAATTTTGAATGTTGATTTTTTTAAAAGTCATATTTTTATTTTTAAGTTTATTATTCATGATTGATTTGCTCAACTTTCCCACAACTAAAACAAAACACTATACTAATAATAAATACTAATATGAATGTGTGAGGCTTGTTCGAGAGGGTAAATAATTGTCAGCAAACCGTAATTTTAAATTCAATATTAATTTAACTAGTAAACTGTTTTCGTCCGAATCGAGTTTATACGTCAATCACAGAGTAAGTTGCGTCTGTAAGATATCGGATGAAAAATATGAATTTGAGAAATTTTATTACTGCATTAGACTGCACTATACTTTTTTGTTAACATAAGCACTTATTATATACGTATTGAACCAAAAACAAAATTAAATTCAATGGAATATTTTACATGCAAGTGTAAGACAGTAAGAATATTTTTTATTGAAAAAAAAAATTAAACTAAATAGTGGAAAATGTTATTAAAATAGCTAAATCTTAATTTTTATTGATTTAGTATATTATTACTACATTTTGAGTAGTTTAAGCTACTTGCCCTGAAGTAAAATGCTACTTACAACTACTTATTTCATCGTACAGTAAATACATAGCTGTGCAAATACATCACATCGGCGCGGTCGACCCGTGCGCCAAAGCATCCGGGTCGCCATCATCGCGTTGTATTGAAGATATCAGAACATTTTTATAATATGTTGAAGGGTTTAACGTTTGTGTTTGATCAGATAAAATTCATTAAAATTCTGTATAAAATAAAGTGCATTTCAATTATGGTTTGTGTGGTTTACAACGGTTTGATGACAATTCAAGCCCTCATCAGAACAAATCAGTGCCAACTTTTGATCGTCGATCGTATGCCTCTGAATGTTGGAGTGAATGTTACTATTATAATCTACAATGATGACAGTTGATTACTGAATCAACTGAACTATTATTTACCTGTTGTTTATTTATTCAAATTGTTGGAATGTGTTTTTTCTATCCTCGTCCCAGGTGCCGTACTGCGCCCAACTGGTGAGCAATTACGCGTTTTGTGTGCATCGGTAATTCTGACTAACTTTAACATCTCTGTACTATTATCTATATATTAAAATTATCTATATAGTTATCTATCCTGTCGCTTATCTATTATCTTTGTCATTATTATTTTGGGTATGGAGGATTTATTTTTTTATTTTTGGTTGGGGCGTTGGGTCTTAGATTGCACCGAATGAAAGCTAAAATGATGGATTTATTTGTGCCTTTTTTTTAAAAAAAAAAAACAATACGAGATTTTACAGTAACTTTCAAAATAATCATGGAATTCCAAAAACTTCCGGATTTATTCAAAATCATTATAGGAAACACGGTTTGGTTTGTAAAGTTTTGGATGACGTTGAAGAAACAAAGTTAACTAAGATGTAATAAATATTATAATTTTGAAGTAAAACTTCTTTTTGGATATAAATATATTTTATATATATTTATATTAGGGTGGTCCTTAACAAGGACATTTTCGAATTTCTTTGCTCCCAAGGGCGCAACTGCTTCCAAAACAATAAAAAATGATTCTCTAATAGTATTAGCTCTTTATATAAACATTTAGATAGAGCGCACAACAATTGCGCTCATATATTTGTTACTAACATGTGACATTAAGTAAATTCGTGCGCCATCTGTGCGCCACTCAAATATTATGATACATAAGAATATTTATAAACCACTTAATCTATTCATCATGGCATCAAGATAATAATTTGAGTCTCAACATCACCAATTAAATAAATATTTTGCTGCAAAATCCATACATGAATATTAATTTTAACTATGGATACTATTGTATGAAAATGCAATACATAACTTTCCTTTATTATTTATTATTAGGTGCATTCTGAAAAAAAATTAATGTGGGTTAAATTTATAATTTATCTTTTTATTTATATGATACTTTTGTTTTTATTTTTGTTTTAGAGTTATTTTATAAGTTTGCAAACACCACTTTACGTCTACACAGTATATCTATATTAAACGAACACATACATGTACGATAGAGTTTGAGAAAAAAAAATTAAATAATCAAATAATTAAATATAAGGTAAAAAAGTAATATTTAATAACTTACCAAACTCTACTGTACTAAACATATATATATATATATATATATATATATATATATCTTCTTACATCACAATCACCATTTTCACTACTAGTGTGGTATTTAGTTGTCAAAATTCAAAATTTTTCTCTGAATATTTTTTGAAAATTAATCTAATTTATAGTCTTCTTCATGTGTAGTGTATTTGATTTTATTGTTAAATTTTATATTTTTAATAAGAAGAAAAAAATGCGGCCCAAGATGAACTCTACTGCTCAACTGGTAAATGAGTTTATGAACCAAAACAAAATTCACAAGATGATTCCTTATTCATCCTCTTATTTTAATTTCAAGCATGTTTTATTATTTAGGGACCGATTCTGCCGCATAATAGAAAAATGTTATGGCAAGGCCATGGTAAGAAAAACTTTCCAAACAAATTCGTTCTAAATATTGACAAAAGCTACGTGGTTGGTGTGCAGTCAGGCGTATTTTTTGAAAACCTAACCTAGAAACCGCATAAATGTAAAAAAAAGCGATGTTAGATAACAGGGTCTTTCTGACTCAGGTTCATAACATACACGTGGCGTTGCAGTTTATGTATAAAACGCCTGAATGCACGGCAAATACATGACATTTTGACAATATTCAGTATGATTCAGTAGCATAATGTATGGAAGTTGGAGCGTAACATGGCCTTGCCATAACATTTTTCTGTTATGCGGCAGAATCGGTTCCTTATTATTATTATTTTATGATTTATCAATGGTTTGATGTATTTTATATGGTTGTAGGGCCGAAGCCAAGGTCTAAGAATATATTTACATAAAATGATGAAAGTTTTTTAGAAAATCTAGTGCCGTGTTCAATTTTTTTTGGAGAATTTATTCTTATATTAAGTAAAAATATTCTGAATATAATTAGCTAAGAAACGTAAACATATTTTTCTAAAGCTCATGACGTATTTAAAAGATTTAAGTGCAAATCATGCAAGATTTTAGTTCTTTAATTTTTTTTAAAAATTTTGAAAGTTAATAAAAATTTTTCTTTCGTGTTGTTCTAGCGTTTTTTCTAAATTTTTATAAGTTTGTCCAATATAGGAAGTGTTGCAGTCGGAGCAATTGATTATTAAGCAATTTTCGGGTTGTACGCAATTAAAAGAACAAGTTTGTTTCGAGACACTGAAAAGATCAACTAAATAAATAATAATAAATCATAATTTACAAATATATTACAAAAAAATATTTATATATTACATTAATGATAAGACCAATTCAGTCTTAAAACGTTTGTGACAATTTTTTTTTCGCAAATGATTTAGCAAAAAAGTGTATTTTTATTTTGGACCTAGGGGTGTTCTATTAATCACGTGAGGTTTATAGGGAAAGGGAGAGTAGTTGTCATTTAAAGAAAAACAAAATGTTTACAGTTTTTTCTCGTAACTAAAAATACGGGGGGGGTTATTTTGAATATCATCACGTATCACCAAGGGGAGAGGGGTCCAAAAATCCTGAAAAAATAGATAATGTGATTAATGGACGCCCCCTAATATTTAAATAGTGAGTTGTATCTAGCATTAAAAAAATCCTCATTTAACTATCAAACTGCCCCTATGTGGGTCACGGATCTCATATTATGAAACACTGGCTTTGAAACACCACATAAAATATATTTTTACAAAAGTTACTTTAACTATTATATTTATTTGCTATCTTTCATCTTATTTACTATTTATTTCTAATTTCATCTTAACCAATTAATTTCTTTTCCTCTTTTATTTAACAATTTCCTTTTCTGGGCATGACTCTAAATGTACGCATGATTTAAAAAAAAAAAAATCATTTTTTGTTGCAAGTGAGTGATTTTGATTGATATACACACTTTTGTAATTCATAGATGGCACTGCACTGTTGAAATTTTATATAACGTAACATGTGATTGGTTTAAACACGAATTGGTATTAGAAACTAATATTGAAACTGGTTTTTAGTGTTAATAATAGATATTTAGATATTTATATGTAGACTAATAAATAATAATTTGTATATATATATATATATATATATATATATATATATATTTGCCTGTCTTTATATTGCACATATTTAAATTTATCAATGCACATATATGAAGCTGAATATTTGTAAAGTTTTAAGAGCGAATTTTACAAACTTTTATCTACTGCAATAATTTGAGAAATCTGGCAACATCGCTTGAGGAGCTTTGAAGCAATATTTCTAGAAATCTGGCAACAGCGCTTCAGCCATAGATAAATTAGCTTCCGCACTAGTTTTTGATTCTGATGAATATTACAAAATGAAATGATTATGGCATAATAAAAAAAATTTTATAAATTAGGAAAAGATAATTTTTGAAAATTGACATGTTTATTAAAAAATTTAAAATGTATTAGAAATCTTAGAAAAAAGTGTTTGAAAAATATAACCTTAAAATTTTAGGATTTTTTTCTAATATTTATTTAACTAGTTCTATGAGCTATAGTTGTGGCAACCCACACGGTTATCCTATCTCTATGTGACGAACAATCATTATTATAATTTCTGTAAAAATGATATTATTTTAATTTTATTTGCAGCTAAAGCAGTGCAATTGCTTTGAAAAAAAGTTCAAAATTTCCAAAATATTTCTGAATTAAAAAAAAACATTTTTTTCAAAAGTTCCAATGTCAATTTTTTTTAAATTTTAAAATTTCTCAACAATCTATTTTTTTTTTCAAAGTTTAAAGAAATATTTAATCGTGTTTAAAAAAATTAATTATTGGTACGGGAAGTTCTAGCAGTTTGCACTAGTTTGATGCTCAAATATTTAGAAAAAATATTTGACAACAGTGCGTGGACTTTAAAGAAGTTAGGTGAAGAAGACTGATGGTGTAGTTTTGTTTGCGCTGTTGTCAGGTTTTTCAAAATATTGCTGTGGATACATTCTTAAGTACCGTGACAATATATAGTTAAAATATTCCATTTATTTTAAAATGCACCAATTTAGACAGTAAATTTTTGATCAAAATACAAAATAAATTGATGGTTTTAAACCGGAGTTGGAACAGGAACAGGAGTTGAATAATCACACCTTTTTGGCACGAATTTATTGCCTGCCATAATTACTAGCTAATTCAGCTTCCTATATACCATTATGTTATTCGTAGTGTTATGTACACCTTATCAACTACCATCAACTAATTTCTACTACAATATTCTAATCTCTATTTTTATTCTCTTCCACCTTTTGTCTACGAAAATTAATCCCGCTTCCGCCGAACGAATCGATCGTACCAATCTCAGGATGGGACCGTCTGCTGCAATTTCGATTTTCGCAGTTGCAGTCCTGACGTATCGAGAACCCATCGCCAGCAGCCACATCTGGCAACACCTGACGTTTCTTCTCCTGATGTCTCGCACGAGAATTCCATCTCTGAAGTTGTTCGAGATGCCAGAGATGCTAGTTTTCAAAAATGGGAAGAAGGCGATAATTCTATTGATGTTGGTGGTGTTGGTGAAACTGGTTTGTCGACGGAGGTTGCAACCAGGAAGTATGTGGAGAACTTTACACAGAGTAATGTTAGTAATGAACTTCAAACTAGAAATGTTTCTGGAGGTATTTATAATGATACTGCAAAATCTAGTTTTGGATATTTTGCTAAATATAACATCAGCAGTCTTGCCAAACAATTTCTTGAAAATTTTACGAGATACGCCAATAATTTTCAAAATTCAGCACAATCTAGTAAAACCAAACAATATACCACCAAGACCAATCCAGGTCTTCCAAAACAACTGCGAAATACAAAACCTGGTACATACAAACCAAAACCAAGTGATTTTACCTCTAGTAGTGAAGAAATTTTTGAATCCACTAACATCGATCCCAATAGTGATTTGTACCATGATTTGGACACCGAAGTTGGCCAAGTCATTAAAGAACATTCCTATGGCCACTTGGATGATACCACAAACAACGACAACCATGGTATCCATCCTGGTGGGGTCAAAAAGTATATCGAGGGTGCCATCAATTGGCACAACATTCCAAAGAAGGAAGAAACAAAATCCAGGACTTTTGATAGTTTTTATCCACCTAGACTGGAAAAAGTTCGACAACCAGAGGTGACACAAGACAAGACGAGGAGTAAAAGTTTGGAACAGGTGACGACAGAGGTAACGAATGAGGTGACATCAGATGGCAGAGCAAGGGCTCCAGGTTGACGTGCTTGATTTTTATTTAATCTTTAACCAATGAAGTGATTTATAATAATTAAGAGGTTGATAAATGAATTTTTGAAGAACCTCTTGGTGTTACGATGCTAACTTGTAAGATATACAGCAGTGTGAATGAGCTTTGGATGTAGCAAAATGCATTTTAGGCGAGTTATGAAATTATGAAATTGTTGTTTAAACAGCTTTGTTATTTAAAGTGCATTTTCTATCTATTACTACTATAGATAGGATATTTTGAGTGAATGTCGTTGTATTGAAAGTGTGCTGAAGGAAAATGTAAAGTATTGTATAATTTGTTTTTAAGTATTAATATATCGTAAATAAATTTTATTACTACAACGTACCAATTTTTGGTAAAATTGGTTAATATTAATTAATTTATTTCATAAAAATCAACTAACCTTGTTGCGAGGCAATAAATTTAAAACAATTCCTTCTCTCGAAGAAGAAAAAACTAATGTAGTGTATAGTGATATTAAATATAAATATAAATAATTAATTATATATTTATGAAATAAGGGCCTATATTATTTAAACCAGAAACGGTCGCACAATTTATGGGGCAATTCTGCTGTAACAGAGCTCATAAAATAGCGTTGTCATGGCAACGCTATCTTGTAAGTGAAACATTAAAAATAGCAATCTATTTGCTGTGAACAGTAAAAATATCAATCTATTTGCTGTGCGATCAGGTGTATTTTATATATAAACAAAGCAAGGGAGAATGTTATGATAACTGCATCATCAAAGATTATGTTATCATAAGATTCTTCCTTGCTGGTTTATATGTAAAATACGCCTGGTCGCACGGTAAATAGATAGACATTTTCATCATTTTCAATACCAAGAACAAGCATAAGAAAGCGTTGCCATGACAACGCTATTTTATGATCTCTTTTACGGCAGAATTGCCCCATTAGTTTCATTGATAGACCGTAGGCTGATCTACATTTTTAGAGGATCTTAAAATTAAATACAATGTCCTATTAGAAATTGCATGTTTTTTATATTTTAAATAAAAATATTTAGTTGGGGTCACCAATTATAGAGCTACCAAAGTTGTTTATCTTATTGCTTAAAGTATCACCAAAAGATTTAAATCCTGGATCCTCCAAATTGTAGATCATCTTCTGGTCTATCAAAAGTTTAACATGCTCAATGGATTTTTAAGTTTCCATTTAAGCCGCAAAACATTGTCAACATACGCTTAGCTTTGCAGCTTCGTTTCTCAAACTATTTTTGTTACATATTAAAATTAGGACAATAGTCACAAATGTTTGGGAAACGACGATTTATAATTTCAACGTACTTTTATTACTATTTTGGCCTGACAAAACGCGCACATCAAAATTTTTATGTAGTAAAATCTCGTAAAATTTCTACTTAATAGAAACAATGTGTTCTAGGAGATTTTGCTGCATGAAGATGCATTTTTGCTTTGACAAAATTTTTATGTATATATATAGTGATGGACTAAAAAATATATATGAATAAATGCATAATATATATAATAATTATTCGATACAAGATGAAGTTATTAAATAAGGGGTTAATTCTGACTTATAAAATAGCGTAGTCATGGCAACGCTATCTTATGCTTGAAACAGTAAAAATGTTAATCTATTTGCTCTACGTTCAGGTGTATTTTACATATAAACTAGCAAGGAATATTGTTATGATAAGAAAATTCGAGATGGTGCGGTTATCATAACATTATTCCTTGCTTGTTTATATGTAAAACGCACCTGATCGCACAGCAAATTAACATTTTTTCTGTTTCACTTACACGTTGCCATGACAATGCTATTTTATGAGGCAGAATTGCCCCTAAATCGTGGATGAGGATGAAAATTCAATGGCAAATAGTGACTACTCGAAAAGTCTTTTCAAGTCCAAGTTTTATTTTCTATTGGATTTTTATTACCTCGTCTAAAAAGCAACTATTGTTAAATTGTAGATATAAAAATGTGAAAATTAACTACCTAGATAGATAGCTTTTGGGTGTCATGTCTGATTTGAGTTCAGATTTGGATATGTTTTGTTTTTAAGTAATTTTTTATATCTGATATAAGTGTATTGCTACCAAAAATATATATAAATATGAATATATAAAATTTATCTGTGCTGTAATAATAATGTAGGTGGACACTAGTTTAAACATTTGGAAAATTTAGCAGTTTAAAAACACTAGTGTTACAAGTGAAAATGGATGGAAATAGACGTATGCAATTTCTTTATCGATTATCATTTTTTATGACCAATGCATTTTCAGTTGTGACAAAAGTGTGATAGTGAAGAACTTTTAATTTGATGACAATATTCTTGATCGTGTATTGAATTTAGGAGCTAGGAGCTCTGCCGTAACAGAGCTAATAAAATAGTCTCGTCATGGCAACGCTTTCTTATGTTTGTTTTTGGTAGTGAAAATGATGAAAATGTCTATCTATTTATTGTGCGATCAGGAGTATTTTATATATAAAGCAAGGAAGAATCTTAAAACAGAATCTTTGATGATGCAGTTATCATAACATTCTTTCTTACTTTGTTTATATGTAAAATATGCCTGATCGCACAGCAAATAGATAGACATTGTCACAATATTCACTGCCAACAAACTGTGTTACCATGACAACGATATTTTATGAGCTCTGTTATGGCAGAATTACCCCATTAATGTATATTAGTAATATTAGTAATTTACGTTCACATCTTCACAACAAATCAATTTTTTTTTACTTCTAGTTCATCTTATTCGTGCACGATCAATATATAAATAAAAGTTTGTATGTTACAAATTGAATTTAACTTAAAAAAAAACAAACACTAATAATGAAAATATATATTCCTTTTTTTACCAAAACATTATTAATAATAATGTATATATAGCATTTAGTATCGCATAGTTAAAAACGATGTTTTACAGAGTAGTATTGCCATATTGTAATAGAAACGATTTTGACAAAGTATTGCCAGATGTCTAAGCTTTATAGACTAAATAGGGGGGAAACCAGGATTCGTTTAGACATATAGGAACTAGTATCATTCTATTTTCCAATTTTTTGACCAAATTTTTGAGCATGTGTTGAACGAATTCTGGTTTTGTCTTTAATAGAAATCTATCTAAATAATTATATAAACAAATTTTTAACTAAATTCTACAAATGAAACAAACTTTATTGCCTAGCTAAATTTATGGATCATAATTTTTTAAAGTTTAAATATTTGCGCAAATGTAATTTATAAACAAATATCAAATGAAGGGTTTAAATTATTTTATAAAAAAAGTTTCATTATTTATTAGAATAATTTCTACTAGCTTTTCAAAATCGTATCGATATAAATTAGATAAAAATGAAATCTGTTTTTTATAAATTAATAATCATATCAAAGTAGAAAAACTTTTGGTTTAAAAATTTTGTATGTTTATAATTTTAAAAGCTTTTTGTATTACTTAAACGCTTTATACGTGAAGAAAAATAGCGCAAATGTAAATTGTAAACAAAAACTATATGAAATTTGCTAGTCAATATTGGGTTCGTTCCATGTGAGGAAAATAAAATCCGAAACAATCTGCAAAAATGCAGAATAATTTTAATTTTCACATGGAACAAACCTATTGTGAACACAAAGTCAAATTATCACAAAAATAATGAAATTAAAATTATTATTTTCATATACACGAAACGTTTTTATTGTTTTTTTTGGACGTAAATAGATTTATTAATGTTCGTGTATGTTTAAATATAATTTTTACAAAATTTTGACTATAAAATAAATGCTTTTATATATAAATATATATAAATGAAAATACGAGATCTGTATTAATTAAAATATTAAAACAAAAGTATTTATTAAGTAAGATGAAATCTACTAATTATATAATTATTAATTAATTAGAACCGCTTCAACAAATTAAGAGCTGGCGGGAATTGGTTTTGGATTTTTGAGCTGGGAGAAAACAATTTATAAGTACAATTGGCTATATATATATATATATATATATATATATATATATATATACATTAGGGTGGTCCTTAATATGGGCATTTTCGAATTTCGTTGCTCAAATGCTTCAAAATTAATGAAAAACAAAATTCTCTAAAAGCTTTAGCTCTTAATATTAACATTTAGATAGTCCGCAATTTAATTAAAAGTTTCATATATTTATCATTACCATATATCATTAAGTAAATTCTTGCGCCATCTTTTAAACTTTGGAAGCGAAACAGTAAAAATCATTTCCAGGACATAATTGCCCTGAGTATTTGAGAATCAAAGCTATTTGTTATATTGTGACCTTAAAAATTTCAAAATTAATCGACATTCAAAGGCCCTTTATCTACTATCGGTAGATAATATTTTACCCTCAGCTCTAAAATCCAAAATCAATTCCACCGACTCATATATTATTATATATAACTGATGAAGATGTATAAACGCTATAGATTCTAAACAAATTAATTCTTTTGTTTTGCGAGAAACTAAGACGCGCTGAATCGTTGATGAATCAAATCTAAATAATATCTAAAATTGGCCGAAATCCTAATTATGTTGTAAATACAAATGAAATAAATAATGCGTGCCAATTTATGATGAAAAAATGATGAGAAATAAAAGTATTTATAGGCAGCACGAGAAGAGTTTTAATTAAAGTGTTTCAGAAAAATCTTGTATTTTTTGTAAGATTTTCCAGGATTTATTTTCACAAGGTTCCTGGAATTTTGACTTGCACAGCTTGATGTCAAGCAGTAGTGATATCCGATAATACTTGAAGACTTAGATCTAAATCTCATTCCACAACCTTTGGATCAGTTATAAGGAATTTTTATCATTGGAGATGGTACACAGATTACGTATAAAAATTATCAATAAAATGTTATTTTGTATAATAAATAATTGTAATTTGTTTCTTTTTTTCTTTATAGATTTCTTGCATGATCGATGAAAATTAAAAAAAAGTTTCCTGATTGCCAAAATTAGTGGATTTTTTACACTTTTCATGAAATAAATAAAAAGACTGGAAGATTTATATAACAAGATTGAAACTTGACCATGGATTACTGATGATTCTCTCGAAAACTTCAAAATTACTGGTCAAAGAGAACATTTAACAGAAAACTCATAAAATCCAATCTTTACACATTTATATTTTCATTTCAAATCTACAATAATTTATTTAATATAAATTACACACTTTATATACACATTACTCGTAAAGTCTACTTAAAACTAGAGGTAATAATGTGGGATACAAACAAC